AGGCACTGGGTTAGATTCTCAGCACTACATGTAATTAAATAAAATAAAGGTCCATTGACAACTTAAAAAAAAAATTGTGCACACACACACACTCCTAAACTAACTTTTTTTTTTTTGTATTGGGGATTGAACCCAGGAGCACTCAATAACTGAGCTACATCCCCAGTGCTATTATTATTTTTCATTTTGATACAGAGTCTTGCTAAGTTGCTTAGGGTCTTGCTAAATTTCTGAGGCTGACCTCAAACTTGCAATTCTCCTACCTCAGCCTCTCAAGGTGGTGGGATTACAGGTGTGCACTACCATGCCCAGCCTAAACTAACTTTTGAGTGATGACTGCACCAATCTAGCCTCTTACTCATTACCTGGACCGGAAGCTGGGCTAATGACAGTCTTTACTGACCCCCTTAGCCTACTAAGCATCTTCTAGTGCTTTCATTTATTCTTTGCATATTTATTGATCATCTAATGATTACTTGGAGACATCCCTGAGAAACTCATATTCTTTTTTTAAATTATTGGTCCTAATTAGTTATACATGACAGTAGATGCATTTTGACATAATGCATAATCATACATAATGGAGTATAACTTCTCATTTGCCCGGTTGTATATAATGCAGAGTTACACAAGTTGTGTAATCATATATGCATATAGGATAATAATATCTGATTCATTTCACTATCATTCCTACTCCCATACCCCCTCCCCTCCCTTCGCTCCCCTTCCTCTAGTCCAAAGTACCTCTATTCTTCCTGACCCTGCTTATTGTGAATTACCATCTGCATATCAGAGAAAACATTTGTTCTTTGGTTCTCTGGGATTGGCTTATTTCGCTCAGCATAATATTCTCCAGTTCCATCCATTTATTGGCAAATCCCATAATTTCATTGTTTTTTAAGGCTGGAAATTCATATTCTTTAGGGGCCCATTCTGTCTCCCTGCACTTCAAGTAACTTGTTCACTAGAACTCAGAACAAAGTCTGGTTGTGCTGTTGGCCCAGGTGTCAATAAGCAGCCCTGAGACATGATGGAAAGGCCAGGTTACACTGAGCTTTTATGATGGGGCAAGTGGGAGAAGAGGAGGATGAAGGAGTGATTA